AGATGAAGGAGCTAGGAGAGATCGACGTCATTCTCCAAGCTCCTTGCTGTGCTCCTACACAGGAAGGCACAGCTATTCCACATGCTGCCATCCTTCCTCCTCTGGCAACATTCTCTCCTCTCGTTTCTGCGAGTCTGATATTGAGAATAGCCCCTATTTTACAAGTTCTGTTGTATGATCTCCTTTCCATTATTTTTTTCTGTATGCTTTTACCTTTGTAAATAGTCCCTAATTTTAGTAGCCATTAGATCCACTGTCCTCAAGATAAGGGAACAGTGCTAAATGCTACGTATGATATGGAGATGGTATCTTGTTCCTGGTACTCAGATTTGTTCACCTTTCATTCGGGGACAGTAAATATTCTGCATGCTCAACAATTCTTTATAATAAAACCATTCTTTCTTTCCCTGGAATTGAGACAGCAGATTTCCTTGCTGGGAAACTATAGTTCAGATTGTTAATCTTTAAGAGCTTTTGCTTGCCCCCACTTAAGTCAATTTGATCATTTTCTGTTCATTCAGTTTCATGAGTTTTTGTTTTCTAAGCTAGTGACATATCTTGGTGAGTTTAGTGGCCTCCACACATGTGCAGTTTCAACTGTCTCTGGAACTTTGTTCCTGACATTTGTTTGTTCTTCTTGGAAATGTCTTCCTATACTTCTTCTCCTGGCAGCTCTATGCCCTGTTTGAGTCTTAGAGATGTCACCCACCTGTCCCATAGCCCTTCCACTCCACAAGAGGCTAGGTTAGGCCTCTCTTGCAGGCTCCCAACACACACTATGCATACACTGTCATTGTCTTAATATTATATTTTAATTGTTTCTGTGTCTTCTCCATGATTAGCTTGTGATGGAAACTGAAATGATATTGTTATGGATGTGTTCCCCAAAAGTTATGTAAAGTCCTAACCCTACAAAAGTTATGCAAAGTCCTAACCCTCAGGTACCTGTGAATGTGACCTTAATTGGAAATAGATTTTTTCAAAATGTAATCAAGTATAAATGAGGTCATACTCCATTAAGGTGGGTTCTAATCCAATATGACTAGTGTTCTTATAAGGAGAAGAAACGGACACACAGTCACATGAGAAGAGATGGTAACATGTGACTATGTCACTTGGAAGCAGTGTAACAGCCTTTTGGAAGTAGAGAGTGAAATGTCACTATAAGCCTAAGAATGTCGAAGGTTTAGGAAAAACACCAGAAGCTAGGAAGAGGCAAGGAAGGATTCTCTCTTATGGGTTTCAGAGTGAACATGGCCCTGCCAGCAGCTTGGTTTTGTACTTCTAGTCTCTAGAGCTGTGAAACAATGTACTTCCGTTTTTTGTTTTGTTTTGTTTTGATTTGTTGTTGTTGTTGTTTTGTTTTGTTTTTGTTACTCAATCTGTGGAATTTTATTATAGAAACCTGGAGAAACTAATGCAGACACAATTTTGTATCCTTAGCTGTTCTCACAGTGCCTGAAATATATACATTTATATTGAGCTGAAATGAATTGTAAATCATTTAGATGTTAAAAGTAGGCCAAATGTATAATCCTGAAAAAACTTATTTTTTATCTTCCTCATCTATAAATTCAGTTAATCCTCCATCCAAATACTCTGCCTCCCCTCTTTCCAACTCACTAGTCCCAGGGCGAAGTGACTTTGAACACATTCTTACGTGTGGCATACTGTCAAAATTTGCAGGGCCTAGATTCAATCTACTTTATCAATAAGCCTAATGAGCTCCTTAGATTACTCCCCCAAACTGGCCTACTTTCCTCACACACAGATCATGCTGCCTTATATCTACAGGAACAGTTGCTGCTAGAGCTCTCAGGGATTTCATCCCCCTTCCCCAAGATCACTCTTTAGTAGGTGAGATGCAGGGACTTAAATCTCCAGGAGGGGTAAGGGACCACTTTGTCTACAGGAATGAGGAGCTAATATTCCCCTAGGGTTCTTTGTAAAGAGGGATGTTATCAGGATTAAAATTTAGTGTTTTCTACAACTAAAATCATCCTTCTTAACCCCTATGCCATCAATTTGCAAGTATCTGTAGAATTCTTAGGACAAGTTTCTCCTTTTCTATTGAACCTCACATATTCTCTCACAGAATTTTAAATGAGGATGGCCACCTGGTCCTGATTTTGGAGACCAGCAAATAGGTCAGGAGCACCCAGCCGCTGGCACAGATGCTAGAAGAGATCCCTGGTCTCTGCCTCCCAGGGCTGTTTACATTCTCTGTGTTATTATCCCAGCGATGCTACCGAGAAAAGCGGAAAACAGTAACTTTGTGTTTTCGTGAACTGGAATTAGACATGGACCCAGTCTTCCTTTATCCTCCCCCACTGCCAGTTCTGTTCTCTTTCCATTCTCCTCTCTCCCTTTTCCCTCCTTCTCTTTTCTGAACCACTTTGGGTCACATTTTTGCTAGTGTCATAAATCACTTATATTTAAGAACATCAACATTTACAAATAGAAAAATATGGATTTGATTGTCATTATATTTATGTACTAAAATTTTTTATCAGTTAAATGTGCTTAAATACATAACTACATAATTCAGCCAACACAGTTCATTTTAGAAAAAAAAAAGCAAAGCCAAAAACCTATATTGCATATGACCAAAATATATTTAAAAGAAATGTCCAATCATGCAAAATGAAGCCTATCCACTCTGGGGCTCAAGTTGGAAATCCCGATGCCTCAGAGAATCACATCAGCAAAACATTTAATAGAGTAAATAGTCATCTTAGGAATTCCTGGACAAAATATCAACCAACATAAACCTGAGAGAAATCTTTCCAAAGACAAGCAGAGATTCCATGTAAATGAGACCTGTGAATCAATCATACCCTTTGTGTTATTGTACTCAGATGATTTTGGAGAGTTTAAAAAATTTAAGCTATATTTAATATAGATATTTTAACTTCAAAATATATTTTAATGATATAAAAACAAGTCTGTGCTAGTCTATTAAATTCATTATTTTAAAATATATATATTTAAAAACATATATTCATAGAAAAAGCACACATATACATTCACAGAAAAAAGTTACAAGGAAATTCTAACAATAAACGACAATGGTAACATCTGGATTGTGGTTTATAGGTGACTTTAACATTTTCTTTATATTTTTCTTTTTTTCTTAAATTTTCTATAATTAATATTGATTACTTTTAAAACAAAGATGAAAGCGCTATTTAAAGCAAAACATAAGCAATACAAGGTATTCAATTAATGTTTAGTGACAGAGATTATTACTGCGCTAGAAGGTTTCGTTTGCTTCCTGAGTAATGACTATTAGTTCTATTAGTCGTGACTATTACTTCGAGCAAGTCATGAAATTCTCATACTTTCTTCCCCTCTATGTAAGAGAGAGATAAAAATATCTTCTATCTCTGTCGTGAGGATTAAAAGAAATTATATCTGCTAGCTCAGTTCATTTCCCATAGTTGGTAGGCACTGAGTGATCACAGCTAATCACTTGATAGCAAGCTCTGCTTTTTGCCTTCTTCTGCAGTCAAATCACTTTCCTGTTTTTTGGTAAAGTGTGGACTGGGGACAATTTGCATCAGAATAGCTTGGAGGGCTCAGTAAAAGTGCAGTTATTGAATTAGAATTTCTATGGCTGGGAAGTCTGCATTTTTAGCAAGAATCCTCAGAGATCTATATGTTAATTGCATTTTGAAATAATCAGGATCCACTGAGAACACTAGTACTTAACCAGGTTGTTGAACACCTTAGGTTACCGCAACCGTGAAAAGAAAACAGCAATAAAATTTCTAATCATGTTATAGAGCTGTTGAGAAGCAGCTAACATATATGTATTTTGGAGATGATGGATTATGGAAATAAAATGAAGTGAAATGGCATCCAATTTTATGTAACTAGCATTTTCTGTAGAAAAAAAAGAGTGGTCTTTTGTATTCAGATGGACAAATTGCTATGTGTCCTTAATCACCATTTTTGCAAAGGTTTGCTTGCATTTCTACCTGTGATATCGCATGCCATTTTCTCCAATTTTACTGCCTCATGAATGACAGTGACTATATCTTATTTCTCTGCATATCGTCAGTGCCTAGGACAGTGTCTGGCTACAGAAAGAGCTCCATAAAAGTGGTTTCCTTGTTGCAGAGAAGCCTAGGGCTGGAGAACTCAATGAGCCTTAATAGTCCCCTACTTTTCGTCTTCATTACATAATTCCACTGGCCTTTCCAAAAGTTAGTGCTTGAATAAAAAAATGCAGATGTACCAGTTAATGAAACTTAGAATGCAGAGAGTGCTCACATTGCTGTATTTTTAGGTAACTATTATATCACATTTTGGCTTTGTGGAATTATTTTTCAAAGTAAATTAGTGATTATAGACTGTTTCTAAACCCATGTAATAATGGACTTTTACTAGGTCCTTCTGCACTTTTGAAAGTAGCAAGTTATATAAGATGGCCAGAGAAAACAAATAGCTCACTTTTTTTTAGACATCTACTGGATGACTAGTCTGACCAGTTGCTCCAATACACATGACTGTATCTAATTCTCACAACTCTAGAAGGTAGAAACTGCTACTCCCATTTCACTGATGAACAACTGAAGCTCAGAGAGAATGTAGGATTCACACAGTCCTCAGGGCCAGCCATGAATCAAGCTTTCTCATTTCCTGAATCAAGGTTTCCCATTGATTTTGAGTTTGTCTTTTTGTTTGTTTGGTTGTTTTCCTTTGCTTTCTGTTTTTGAATTTTAAGAGAGAAAATGTCCTTGACAAGCTCTGCAGAAAACATTAATTTTTGGTTTCAGTGGAACATCATCAAGATCGTTAACAAGTTTTCTTCTTTCACGAAACTAATCTGGCAGCTAATTCTATTATTTACTTAAATATTATTCTCCCCATCCCCCAAGAACTTGGTCTTTTAAATTTTATTTGCATGGAATTTTATGTCCCCTTCCCATGGATTCCCCTTTGCTGTGTACTATCATATAGTAGCTTAAAAGTGAGTGGAAATTCTGCACCCTCACCTGTGACATTGCAGTACACTTGGAGAGGTCCCAACGGCCCACTGCCATCCGGGTCGATGTAAAAGAAACCAGCCGTGTTCCCTTGGTGCCTGTATACCTCGCAGGATCGCTCATAGAGGGCTGAGGAGACACAAAGGCAACAGAGAGGAAACTTTGCATGCCTCTACATACCCCTTGGATGGATCAGTGACTCCTACTTATACTGATTGTCAATGTTGACTTTCTTCCCTTCTCCTATAACCTGGACCTTTCCCCCAAGTCTTAACAAACCAGTGTCCCAATACTGGATGGATCTGCATCCTCCGTTCATCCTAACAGTCATTCTTCTAATCAGCTCATAGGTCACATCCTCCGAAAGTTCTCCCCTTACATCTGATATGGCCCTTCTCTATGCTGATATGTATGTACCTCCTCTATGACTGCTGGGCATGTGGAGCTAGGATATCCTGTACTGCTCTATGTTCCCAAGTGGTTATAGAAGGTATAAGAGTGGTATCCACATGTTATTTGATACTGTGTTCCAGCATCTAGCCAAGTGCCACAGCAGGAGCTTGATTAGTAAGTGAAAAAGTGAATGATCATGTACAATCATGACATTTTATTAATAAAGTAAAATGGCATCATCATATTGCTATATGCACAGAGCTCAGCATAGTAACTAAGCTTAGTCTATTCTAACTTAACAGGCATTTACTGAGTTCCTAATATATGTTAACAGTGTAGTCGCCACCAGACTGCAGAACATGAATGAGGTAGTCAGTCTGTGCTTTAGGAAGCTCATAGCCTGGTTGCAGCCACAAAGGTCTTTGTGTGTTTGGAGAGGAGCGGGCACAGGTTCCCTGAGACAGGGTACCTTGAACAATTGGCAGGTATGAGAAATATATAAATCTCATTACACCAACATGAATGATTCCAGTGGGTTTTAAAGGAGGCATCTGCTGTCTCATGCATGAGAATACAGAAAGTTGCCTGACGCTTTAGACAAAATGCTACAACTCAGAGCAGCAGGTACATATCCAATTGTGTCATCTTTCCATGTTTAAAACACCTCAATGGCTCCCAAAAGCTTTAAGGATGGAGCACTAGCTCCTCATTTTCTCTAATATGCCCCTGTGACGAATGTCCCATTCCAGTAAAATGAGGTTGCAGTTTATCATGATAAAATGTGAAGAGTGCCTCAAATAATTCATTACCAAAAGAGTTCTAAAACTTGAGAAGGTTTGAGTTTTTATAAATTAAAGTGGATTCAAGGTTATCTTTGCACTCATGTACTTCTAGCAGCTATACACACTTTCTGAAGTAGAAGGTGAATGAAAGGGTTATAGTTCCACCCTACCTATGTGTCATAATATAGCTTATTTCTCTTTTTCCAAACCTGATAACACATCTGGGTGTGTATCACACTTATGGAAGTCAGCTCTTATATGTGGTGCCTCTCCCCAGACACTCCCACATTCCTGAGATAACAACCATGTGAAAGGAGTAACATTTGGGAGGTTACATAGTGGTTAAGAACATAAACAGCGGGGTGCAAATATCTTTTTGAATAAACTTTTTCAAATTTTGGGGTAGATATGACACATGATGTAATATACATGACATATTATTGAGCTGTACACTTGCAACTTATATAATTGTATTAACCAATGTTACCCTAATATACTTAATTAAAATATATTCCCATTTTTTAATGCACAACTAAGGAAAAAAAGAACATGAACCCTGGAGTCAAACTGAATGTTGTTTGTATCAGAGGGCTACTACTTACTATCTATGATAGTTCGGATAAGCTAATTCACCTGTGGTAGACAACCACTATGATAACTCATCCTAGCCATACCTCTTGGTATTCATATCTTGTTCATGAATTCATGCCCTAACCTTGAATGTGGGTTGAAATTTTAGATGTGCTTCTAACAACATATGATAAAAGTGATAGATGTAATTTCCAAGCCTGAATTATTAAAAGACAGTGGCTTCCATCTTGGGTGCTCCTGGATCACTCATTCTCAGAGAAACCAATTGCTATGTCCTGAGGCAGTCCTGAAGAAAGCCCCATATAAGTGAGCTTGGAAACCTATGAGACAAGCCTTGGGAGTGAGCTCTGAAGCAGATCTCCACAGTTAAAAACTGATTGTACCCGTAGCTGATCTCTTACACCAGCCCTGTGAAAGACCCAGTCAGAACCATCCAGATAAGTTGCTCAAGGACCCAGAGAAACTAGGAAGTAATGATGTCAATTATTTCCGATGCTACATTTTGCTGTAAATCATTATGTAGTAATAGATAGCTAATAAACTTTCAAAGCATTAATTTTTTCATATGGATATAGGTATAAAAAAGCCTACCTCATACGACATAGCGAAGATTCAAAGAGATAATCCACATACAGCATTTAGCATAGTGCTTGGCACACAGACAGTGCTTGATAAATGTGAACTATTATTATTGTTGCTGTTATTGCACTGTTTCATGCCATGTTGCTTCTTCATTTTTGTCAGTTTTTTGTTTACTTGACTTTTTTTTCAGTTTACATCATGAATGAATCACAGAGCTTGTTATGAAAAAATTAATAGATACTATCTCTCTTCTGTGAAGAGATGATAAAGAATGGCTTTTAATTCTAAATTCTTTTAGATTATTTCTAGTGTTTGATTATTTCACTTGTAGCATTTTTAAATTCCCTAGAATATTTGTTCTTCCCCCTAAATATTTTTTTAATAACATACAATTCTCAATTCATTGATGCTATATATCTTTACTATATATGATAATATTAATTATAACATAATTTCTTTGACATTTTCTTTTCTCTGTATACAGTTTCTTCCAATGTGTGTATGTGTTTGTGCATATGTGAGTGAGTGAGTGT